GAGGCTGAGGCAGGAGAATGGCGTGAACCTGGAAGGCGGAGCTTGCAGCGAGCTGAGATCTGGCCACTGCACTCCAGTCTGGGTGACAGAGCGAGACTCCATCTCAAAGGGGGGGGGGGGAAAAAGGACTAAGCCTAAGAACTTAGTATTTTCTATGTGAGAGAGCTATTTCCAATAGAATCTTAGAGAATGTTTGCCACCAGAAAAAGATATCATAACTGAGAGACTGGACTAAGTTATCAGTGGAGCATATCTGGGCATGTCCCCCCACTGAACCACTAAATGGGACACAGTATTTAAACCCCAAGTCGAGAGGAGGAAAGCAGGCAACTTGCTCAGTTAATGGAGATTCATGAAACTAAGATCCTTCTGAATTATTGTATATGAAATTTCCATCAATTGCACTGCCTAAGTAAATTAAGGTATAGTCATAAAATAGTAATAGTAAATAGTTTTTTTAAAAAATGAGGTATATAGATATATATACACATATATATATGAGTGAAGCTTGTATAGATTTGAAGTATATATGTGAATATATATAGAGAGAGAGTGAGAAAGAGAGAGGGGGAGTCTACTATGTCTTAATATTAAAAGAAAAAAAATGCCAGTTGCAAAACAGTCTGTGTTGTGGCATGATTCCATTTTAATTAGCAAATATCTGTATGGCATTATGTACTACTCTGATATCTTCACAATGACTAACTTATTTAATACTTATAACCATTTTTTGAGTTATTTACAATCATTATCCCCATTTTCCAGATGAAAAAAAGAAGTACTGAGGCACACTGAAATTAGTTCCTCCAAGGTCACAGAGCTGGTAGGTGACTAAGCCAGAATTTGAACCCATGTAGAATCCATGCTAACCACTACATCGGACTTTCTCTCACTATTATCATGGCTGTGCAAACAAAAAGCATATCAAGTCAATTGAAGTTCTCTCTCTTGCCCTCTCTCTCACCACACTGAAGCTGGCTCTTGCAAAGAGGAAGTATCCTGATATCACCTTACATCTGAATGGTGTCTTAGGGTTTATAATGTACCTTTACAGAAGTGGAGTCATCATTACTATGCTTTGCAAAATTTTCAGTTCTTCTTCCTTGGGAAGTGGTAGGATTGCCCCCTCCACTCTCTCTATTTATTTATTAATTAGAGATTGGGTCTCACTGTGTCACCCAGGCTGGAGTGCAGTGGTGTGATCACAGTGTACTACAGCCCAAAACTCCTGGGTTCAAGGGATCCCCCTGACTCAGTCTCCCATGAGTAGTGGGGACTGCAGGCCTGTGCCACCATGCCCAGCTTCCAATCTCTTTGAAGTTAAGTGTGGCCATGTAATCACTTTGGCTGATGAGTCTGAGCAGAACTTGTGTGAGTTTTAGGCCTTCCCCAAGCCCCCCACCCCCAGCCCCAGTATTCCTTGGTCCATGAGTAAATAAGAAGACCATATTCCTCACTGATCCATATTGGACACACAACATGAATGAGAAAATAAACTTTTGTCCTTTTAAGCTTCTGAGATTTGAGGTTCATTTTTTACCACAGAATTATTGAGCCTAAGTTCACTGTTACAGTTGGGTATCCTCCTTACACAAACTAAGATTCAGAGAAATATAATGACTGGTCCTTGGTCACATACTAGTAAGACAGGTAGCATTTTGACAAGCAGAGACTAAAGGGAGGTGATCATTTTAGAAAACAAGAAAGTCAAGTAAAATCAAGAAGGCAAAAACAAATGAACAAACATGAAACCCCCCAAAAAACAACAACAACCACCCCTGTGTGGGCCAGGTGCAGTGGCTCATGCCTGCAATCCTAGCACTTTGGGAGGCCAACATGGGTGGATCACCTGAGGTCAGGAGTTAGAGACCAGCCTGACCAACATAGTGAAACCCCATCTCTACTAAAAATACAAAATTAGCTGGGTGTGGTGGCGCACGCCTGTAATCCAAGCTACTCGGGAGGCTGAGGCAGGAGAATCACTTGAAGCCAGGAAGTGGAGGTTGCAGTGAGCTGAGATTGCACCACTGCACTCCAGCCTGGGCAACAAGTGCAAAACTCCATCAAAAAAGAAAAGAAAAGAAAAAGAAAAAAAGAAGAAAAACCCCTGTGTTTGAGTGACTGCAAGCACTCCATTGTATGCGAGAATGGAGTAACAAAGATCTGCTACTGGTGAACTCAGGGATCTCAATGAATAATGAGTTCCACTCTGAACATATTACATATGTTTATAGAAAGTCAGTGCTATGGTCTGAATGTTTGTCCCTTCCAAAACACGTGTTGAAATTCAAGTGCTATCCATAGTATTAAGAGGTGATACCTTTGAGAGTTGATTAAACTATGAGGGCTTTCCCTCCTAGGTGGATTAATGCCATTAAAAAAGGACAAGTTTGGCCCCCTTTTTGTCTCTTTGCCCTTCTGCCTTCTGCCATGTGGTGGTGCAGCAAGAGGGCCCTTGTCAGATGCCAGCACCTAGATCTTGGACTTCTCAGTATCTAGAACTGTGAGAAAATGAGCTTCTGTTCATTATAAGTTACCCAGTCTCAGTGTTCTGTCATAGTGCACAAAATGGACTAAGGCAGTCAGAAAGAGAGCTGAAGTAAAGAACCAGAAATTGTCAGAAAGGAGATAGAAAAGAGTAAGCACAGATGCAGCACATATCATGGTCAAGGCAAGGATAGTATCATAATTTTCCAGCCAATCTGCCCATTTCTGAATACCGCACAGTCCTTTAAATGCCATATAGATTGAGACTGACTTAATTTCAGTGGGAACCAGTGGGATTGACAGTTACATATAATCTACTTTCACCCTTGGTTCCTTGGATACTATGGATACTATCAGAGAGCACAAAGCTTTGTGAAAGCATAGAGAGGGCTGGAACTTTCCCAACTTTGTTTTCAAAAAACGTGGAGAATGAAGATTCCAAGGAATTGTTCATCCGACCGTGATCCTGACTGAATAACTTGAGCAAATCATCTAAATTGGCTGATTCACCAGGAGAAATGGGACAAGTCCACAGCAGACAACTCAGCCAGAAGGATCCTGAGAAAATATTGAGAGAAACAAGCCCTGTGGACAAAGGATCAGCTTTTGTCAGACATCAGTATGACTTATGCTCAAAAAGGAACCCAAAGAGCTGGTGCCAAGATTTGTCTGACAAAGTGCTCTAAAGTAAGAATAGAGACTTATTCCTGAGAAATTGTGCTGCAGATATCTTAGGAAAAGTGTGCATCCTACCTCTACACAAATAAATGAGGTTGGCGGGGGCGCAGATAGAAAATGAAAAGCTGGCAAGGCTGCTGTCTTAGGCCAGAAGAATTGATAACTAATGGGCTGATCAGAGTGGTGGACTGGTTCTGCTTTGAGAAGGTAGTATTTCTAGTTTCACTGTTTCAACAGGGTGCAACCTTATGCATGTATGGTTCCACCCAGCCACAGCCTTCCTAACCTCATGGACAAGGACTGTGAATATGGCTGTGCTTTCATTCCTCATTGGAGTTCAACATTCGCTGGTGAGGACCTGCCATAAACCTCTGCCTCCTGGGGTTCCAACTCATAGCATGAGTTCCACTCTGAACATATTACATATGTTTATAGAAAGTCAGTGCTATGGTCTGAATGTTTGTCCCTTCCAAAACACGTGTTGAAATTTAAGTGCTATCCATAGTGTTAAGAGGTGATACCTTTGAGAGTTGATTAAACTATGAGGGCTTTCCCAACCCCCTTCTTTATTTCTCCAGACCTTGCTGGAGCTTCTGTTTGGCCTAAACTGATGGGCCCCAAAGAACTATGATGCTACAACTACTCAAATCTGGCTTTGCCAATATTTGGATATTTCAACTGCTGCTGCCACAATTTACCCAAAAGATCAGATGGTTGTGGTATTGAAATGCCATCGTGCAGTAAGCTGGTCCTATAATGTAGTCTAAACTGCTGTCTCCTTCCTTGATGGGACAAAGCATGCCCCTAGACTGTAGTGTGATTTTAAACTGCTGCCCTCTTCCTTGATGGGACAAGGGATGCACCATAGCCTCTTAGTTTCTCTTTCCTTGGTCTTGACCTTTCCTAACCTCCTCCCATTCCCAAATGGTGCCCTAGAAGTCCCAGAACAGCTTGTAACCAAGTAAGCATGACTGGAATAAACAAGATATCAGAACTGAGCTTCTGGGGTTTAAAAACTGGCATAAAAACTATAGATAGGATTGTTTTTGTGTGTCATTCTTACAGGCTGCAGAATGCCTGTGAGAGAAACACAGGGTATAAATTAGAAATTCTCAGATTTTACATTGTTTGGGGTAAACAAAATGGAAAAGTGAAACAGGAAATACAGAGCTAATTGATGTAGAAGAGGAAACACAGCAATTTTTTGACACTTTTAATGTGCAGCAGCTGAATGCCACATGCAATATGCAATAGGGAGGGGAAAGCTATCCACTGAGGCAATGCCACTTTGTGAGAACCCTGAGAGGGGAGCTGTGCAGAGGCCCAGTGGTACTTAAAAGTGAATGACAGCCCCACCAAAAGGAGCATTTAGTTTTTCTCCAGGCTGAGGACTGTCTTTCTGGTGGCACTTGGCCAGGAAACATACTTTTGCATCTCAATGACAGGACTTCCTGGGGGAAAACAAATAGGTCTTCCCACCAGGAACAAAGGCAAAAGGAAATGTAGTAATGAATAACTACAGTTATTCAGTAAATAAGTTGACTGGAGAAAGCAACCAAAGCAGTTCTTTTCTGCAAGTGACAATGTATATATGCATGAAAGTTTGAGGTTGGAGAGGTGGCAGGAGAAGCAAAGGAGAGGCAGTGAACTTGAGAGTTTGCCAGGAAAAGGGCGGCAGTAATGAGAGGCAGGCTATGTGTATAGGGGTTCTCAAGCCTAGGTAACATGTAAGAAAAACAAAAGGAGCATGAAAAACAGTTGGACAAGAGGAAAGGGCAGCTACAAAGCTATTGGCAAGTCTTGTGTGAGAAGGGATTGGGAGTTAACCACAGTACCTTCTTATTCACGGTTTTGCTCTCCATGGTTTCAGTTACCCCTGGTCAACCATAGTCCCCAAATAGGTGAATACAGTACCATAAGTTATTCTGAGAGAGACAGGGAGAGACCACATTCACATAAATTTTATTAAGAATATTTTTATAATCATTATATTTTATTATTTATTGTTGTTAATATCTTATTGTGTCTAATTTATAAATTAAACTTTATCATAGGATATAATATGACAAGAAATGTATACACAAAAACTTGTATGTATAGGAAAAAACATAGTATATGTAGGGTTTAGTAATATTCATGGCTTCAGGCATCTGCTGGGGGTTTTGGAATGTATCGCCTGAGGATAAGTGAGGATTACTATATTCAATTCAAAGGGCTTTGGCTTATTTTAGAAATACTTTTGTTTTTACCAGATCTATCAACCATCTGGTTGCTACTCTAGTGCCTGACAGTGATTGACATTAATGATAATATACTGATAAGAATAATTACTATAATTGTAGGGGCTGACATTTATTTGGCCCTTATTTGGGACTATAGGCTTTATACACTTCATGTTATCCTATTTCACCTCCAGAGCTACCCTGAAAGATATGAATCACTATGATCCCCTTTTACAGATAAGAAAAATCAAGTCTCAGAGAAGCTTGCTTGAATTATTAATAATTGCAAAGCCTGATTTCAATCCAAATCTGCCAATTCTGGAACCTGAGCTCATAAACATTATGGAATATTGTCTCTTGCTCAGCAGACACAATGAGGTTTATGCCTGTTCTTCCCTAGTAGACTGTGAGGAAGAGAGGTTACATGTGCTACTATATGTTCTCATAAGTATATTTAATTTAGCCTTAGTTTTCAAGTCAATTTCCCTGTTAAAACTACATATTAAATAGGACACATTTTTCTCCCCACAAAATCTACACCTATAATTATGTTCGTTAATACAATTCAGTGTGATCCCAAAGGATTCACATTATGTTAATTATGTCTAAAAGCACTTCCATAAACATCAAAGGAACAATAAAAAAGTAAAAGCAATGTCAATAAGAACAGAAACTAGATATTATCTTCCAAACTATCCTTCCTTTCTTCTTCCTCCCTCAAAAGCTATTTTTTTAAGAAGCCTACTCCAGACCACAATAATTCAGTTGTCTTTTGTAGTATATAAGTGATAAAAATAAATATTCGAGAGAACAAAATAACAGATTTTCTCTTCTCTGTCCAATGCTAACTTTGGTCTTTGGCTTCCAAAACTAAATTCTATGATTAATAATGAAATAGGAAAGATAACACTTTCTTTCTAGATCAGGATGCTTTTCTGAAATATTTGGAACTCTGTATTTTAGGATGCGCCAAAAAAAGTCCCCTGTCTGGGCTAGACTATACTTTGTATCTTCTGGTCACAGTGAAACAAAGCTGTTGGAGACAAGGAGGGAAAAATCAGCTATAGAGTTTCCTTTACCAAATGCAATGCTGAATAATCTTGGCATATTTTTATGCACAGGCTTACGACATTCTGTGTGAAGATATGGGAGGTCAATTATTTGGACAATACTGGGATGTAGAGTAGGAATTGCACGCTGTGACATGGAATGATGGAGAGGCTTTGGGGAACTACTGAGGTGTGATATGTGTGACATTTCTGGGCTACCCTACCCACAAATGGATGCAATATAAACTTCTATTTCTCAGACCCCTTGGGGAAATTTACAATCTTTGCTCGTGGCATTAGACCTCAAATAGGAGAAATCCTCTAAGAATGTTCTTTTACTTTATTTCTAAAACAGAGATGCAAACCATTTCCTAAATAGATTAATGAGATAAATATTCCGAAAGCACAACTTAACAGGATTCCTAAACACAGAAACTTCAAGAAGAGAATTTGTACATTTAATTATTCCCGCCTCAGTGGGTGTTTTTACTGGGAAGTGGGGGCAGAGAGGTGGTATTGGAAAGGCTGGGAAGCACCTGTGCCTGTAGGGCTGGCTTTGTAATACTTGCCCTTTCCTGGATTGTGAACCAGCAGCATCTGCGTCACCTGGGAGAGTTCTAGAAATACTGAATTTCAAGCCCTACCTCAGACTTACTGTGTCAGAATCTGCATTTTCACAAGATCTGGGAAATTTGTTGCACATGAAAGTTGAATCACTCTGCTTAGGCCTCCTCTGCAGGCTGAAGAAGAAAAGCAAGTGAGCTCTGTAGAGGATGGGATAGTGGCCAGTGGAGAAAATGAAGCTCAGGGATTCTGTGTTCTCTGTTATGTGACACACTTTTGTTCTCCTAACCCAAATCCTTTAATCACTCCCTCTCATTCATTTATTTGCTCATTTAACAGATATTTTCTTATGAGCCTCCTACATGCCAGGGACTGTTCTTGATGTTGAGCGTATAGCAGAGAACACCACAGACAAGGTTTCTGCACTCATAAAGCTCTGCATTCTGGTGGAGAAGGGCAGGGAGGACAGGTGACACACAAATACATGATGTAATGTCAGGAGAAATAATAACTACCAAGCAGAATAACAATAAAGCAGAATAAAAGCACGGAACATGTTGCAGTGGATGGTGCTATTTTAAATAGGAAGGTTAGTAGAAGCCTCCCCAGGGAGGTAACACTTGAACAGAGAACTGACTGAAGTGAGGAAACAATCTGTGAAAACAGTGAAAGGTACAGAGCTCCAGGAGAAGGAACACCATGTGCCAAGACCCTGAGCCACCCTCAGCTTCTTTGAGGAAAAGTGAAAAGTTGAGTGTGACTGCAGCTAAGCAGGCAGAGGCACTGTGGTAGAGACAGGCTTGGTGAGGCCAGCAGGGAGACCATGGAGATCTCAAATACTGTGCCAGAAGGTTTGGATTTTATTCTAAGCATGATGAGAAGCCACTGGGATTTGATCACAGAAGTGAGATGAACTGATTTACATATTGAAAAGATCGCTCTGGCTGTTGTGGTCACACCAAGACTACCTGCTATCATCTTTCTTGCAGAAGCACCCAGATGAGAGACTGTCCAACCTAGAGGATTTTGTCCAACTCTGTTTAAATATTTGAATAACTGAATGAATAACTGATGAATGGATGAATGAATGGTTCTAGCTGTCCAGGTTATGGTTATGCATAACAATCCCATGCTGTCTTATTCGTGAGCACAGGATTTGATAAGATCTTTTCTCATCAAATACATTTGGATTTGTTGTATGATAGCAGACCTGTTGTCAACAGAGCCCACCCAAATATTCCTGGAAGATCTGATGTTAGAGGAATTTCAGTTTTCACTTTTTGTTTTTAATGAGAAAGAGAAAATGTACACGTCTTTCTCATTGAAAGAACTTATGAAACAACTCATAATTCTTCTTCCCAGAAAGTCTTTATTCTCTCTTTATTCTTAAAGGCTTTTGTGCTAACTGCCAACAGAATATGAATTGGGTATTGGATAACCCCCAAAGTCATTTTTATATCTGGTTCTATGAATCTATGATTTAATATCCTCCTGTTGTGGTGCTTTTCCAATCCTTCTTTCAGAGTAAACTTTAAGAACCAGCTCATGCTTCTCATGTGGTTTTGAGGGTCCCCTGGCTCTTAGGTACAAACCTTGGGTATAGATGCTACTCAGGATTCAGAATATGATTCTTCAGGCATCAGCACTGACTAGGAATCCCACTACTTTTTTTTTTTTTTTTTTTTTTTTTTGAGACAGGGTCTCACTCTGTTACCCAGGCTGAAATGCAGGGGCGTGATCTTGGATCACCGTAACCTTCGCCTCCCAGGCTCAAGCTATTCCCCTACCTCAGCCTTCTGAGTAACTGGGATTATAGGCGTGTGCCACCATACCCAGCTAATTTTTGTATGTTTAGTAGAGACTGGGTTTCATCATGTTGACCAGGCTGGTCTCAAACTCCTGGCCTCAAGCAATCCACCCACTTCAGCTTCCCAAAGTGCTGGGATTATAGGCGTGATCCACCTCACCCAGTGAATTCCACTACTTCTCCCATATGTTCATAAATTTCACAGGAATGCTTCTTGGACTTTCAAATGTACCTAAAACTACAGTTAAAAATACCAATCTTGGCTGGGCATGGTGGCTCATACGTATAAACCGAGCACTTTGGGAGGCCAAGGCAGGTTGGTCACTTGAGCCCAGCAGTTTGAGACCAGCCTGGGTAACATGGCAAGATCCTGCCTCTACAAAAAAAAACAAAAAAGAAGAAAAATATAAAAATTAGCCAAGCATGGTGGCACATGCCTGTAGTCCCTGCTACTTGGGAACTGAGGTGGGAGGATCACTTGAGCCCAGGAGGTCAAGGCTGCAGTGAGCCATGATCACACCACAGCACTCCAGCCTGGATGACAGAGTGAGACCCTGTCTCACAAAAAAACTAACAAAAAAAGGCAAAACGATTAAAAAAAGGCTATTTATCATATTTGTATTAAATTTTGGCTGACAATAAGAATGTGTCATATGTATACATTTGTTTCTTTGGTCTTGTGGCATTATTGTCCTTACATGTTCTAAATACTCTTCAAAGGTCTATGCCATTGGCACAGGGATGCTCCCAGTGTCCCCCAACAAGCTGGCCCACCGTCCAATCTGCTTTGACTCACATAGGCCATCCCTTCCTCACATACAAACCTGTCAGCCTTTCTAATGCAGGTAGGATGCTAGTGAGCAGCCTGCTCCCTGGCAGTAGTGCAAGTCGATCACAGGCAAATGAACACCTCACACAGTGCCTCCTGCCCAGGGTTGTGACCACTACCAGTCACTAGCTGAACCTCCCTTAGATTCACCCTGGTATGAAAGATTATGGGAAGTACAGCTTATGGGAAGTACACCAGAATACTGGTGTTTATTTTCAGTATCAACCCTCCCCTCACATTCCCACTCTCCAGAAAAAAAACAAAACAAAACAAAAAAAAAAAACAGGGCTTCCTTGTATGATGAGTGCCTTATTTTTGCATAGCCCTGTACAGTTATCAAGGTACTTCATGCACACAATTTTCTTTGATTATTCAACGTCCCTGCGAAGAAGGAAGGTATGGTTTTTGCCTCCATTTTGCAAATGAGATTGATGACTCACCTTCTTGACTCATCAGTGATGGGGCTAGAATAAGAATGTGTGCTCTTGACCCCTAGACTAGTGTCATTTCTATTCCAGCATGACACCTTGCCCAACCCCGCTTTATATTGTGGTTTGGAAGCACTAACACCTCCATTCTACACTTCTACCCAGAGCATGTCTACAGTGAAGCCTGGACCTCCTCCTTATAAATCACACTGCCAGATCAGTGTTCATGGATGTGCAAATATAAAAATGAAATGAACAAAGGATGATGTCAGATTGCTACATTTTGTTTTACCAACTACCACCATTATTTAATAAAAGAAATGATATGTTTCATCATAAAGAAGATAAATATTCTAGAGTGTTTCTTATTCTAGAATAAGATATTCTAATAAGAATATCTTCTTATTCTAGATAAGAATTCTCATTCTAGATAAGAATTCTCATTCTAGAATTCTCATTCTAGAATAAGAAGATAAACATTCTAGAATAAGGGCTAGTTTCTCCCAAGAAACAACAATTAAGGTGTTTCATATCAACCTATTTTTAAAAACACTGTATATTTTCAAATTTAAAATTAGAACAATTTTCCTTTAACTATGCTGTAATTATTTAACTGATACATGTTTGCCAACCTGAGTATACATTCAAATATATGCATATATATTCAACAATGCCAGAAAAAAAACCCAGTTACTCCAATTAACTTATTTTTTATCAATACCTTTGTCAAACTTCCAGTTTCACGTGCTGTTTGGCAAAAATGGAAAGAACAGTCACTGGGGCTTCTTCACACAGCTTGGAATATTCTGGGCAAACTGAAAGAAGTTGAGAATTAATTGTTTCCATGCCACCAACCGCTTTTCCTACATTCTCACTCTTTGGAGCGCCAGGAAGACAGTGGGTAGTTGGCACAGTGTGTGTCTGGCTGAAGGTAGCAAGTACTCCAGGAAGGGGCATGTGGCACCTAGAGTTCATAGCATAGGCCTGACTCACAACCTCAACCTTGTCAGTGGTGAATTCATCTGATTGGGGTATCACAGACACATGCAGACTTGATTTTAAGAATCACTGGCTTTGTTAATATGCTATACCTGAATGTATCCATTTTATTTTAAGAAAATGACAAAAGCTCCTACCTGTATCTACCTGCTTAAATAGGTATCTACTTATATGCAGTAGAATCAGGTGGGCAGAACCACACCAGGAAGACATACTACTAGAGCACACAGAAAACAAAGATCAAAGACTAGAACATGTTGAGAGGAGGATTTCTTGTTCTTTCTGCCTGTGATACCCCAGGGTGTTTCCAATTATTTCAAGTCATGTCATGGAATATCAATAAAATAGCCCAACATAAAACTACTTGGAATCATTTTTAAATTATATTTAAGCCCATGCTATTTGGGAAATCTTCAGGAAAACAATAGACAGGCGCTGGTCTACACTGATACTCAGGTATTAGGCCAGGTGATTTCACTGAGAAGGAAAACGTGGGAGAAGAAGTAGGGAGAAGGATGTAGGTTGGAGCAAATAAGGAGGGAGCAAGGATGAGTTCATTTTTAGAAATGCCCAATCTGAGTTGTTTGTGGGGCTTCCTGGTTGTGATATCTAGTGGGTACTTACAAGTTCATTTAGTCATCTAAAATATTTATTTTATGTATGTATTTACTATCAAATCCTGTATGTGGTGCTAGGCACAAGGGAGAATATAGGCCCTGCTTCCATGAATAACCTAGATTTTAACATCAGGAATAGAATAGATAGAATGTTTTTATTCTTTGAGAAAACTTGTTTTGAAATATATAATTCATTTAGAAATTTTAAAAAGCAACCTTCATTCCCTTTTATAAGAAAACAAGAATAGAAGCCAAGTACTAAGTCATTTGCATAATATCAATATTTTACTTTATTTTGATCTGGCTAAATTAGTCAAAAGCTTAAATTTTATTTTAGTCCACTTAGTTTCATGTTAATGTTTTTACATTCATAAGTAAATGTTTTGCTTCTGTCCTATGACAGCATGACAAAAAATATTTACCAAATATTCATAATTAACCTGTTGAATTGAAGATAGTGCAACCTCCCACAGACTTCAGAGGGATCTTCTCCATTAATTAACTTTTGGAAGTGATGAAACTCATCATATTTCTGATAGTACAGCATCAGTAATCCAAAAACTAACTCAATATAAACCTCTCCTCGTCTATAAAATGTAGAGTATGCTTGTTCCAAAAATTCAAGTGATTTAAATGATTTCTATTAAATCACAAAGTTGACTTAGTTCAAAACTCATCGTCGACAAGCCTATGTGTTTCTTTGTTATGTATTTATTATTTGTTATTTACAATCTACACTAGGTTAGGAGATGAAATTGGGTCTCCTACAGTCTGGCTGGCTTTCCAATGTGGTTCACAAACCACGGACCAATTTCAGGAACAAGAACCTCAAAAAGTGGACAGGGTGAGTGTTACTCACCAATTAATGCACTACATTAAGAAAACTCTCCTAGAGCTGACTGATTTTGTGTAGACTTCCTGTTTGAGTGGAGGAGGCTGTTCTTCAGTGGGCGGAGGTAAAGATGGGGATAATATGAGGGGGATCTCACAGGGCATACAACACAGTAAGAAGGCAGAGCAGCTTAGAGACCCGAGCCAGGAAGCAAGATGGAGGGTACTGCTTCCACTCCATGCTGTTGGGCTACTGAAACCACTGGAATATTCTCATCTCTTTTGTAGGCAAAGAAGACATATAAAACAGGCAAGCACCAGAAAGTATTTGTGTCCACCATACCTTATTGCACTGCCTAATTTTCTAAGACTGCCCTCAGAACCTCTCCAAGCAGTCGAACAAAACTTAACATGAAATGAAGTACATTTTCTTTGTTCTGTAGCTCAACCTTGGTACTATTTTTTTCTCCCCATCTACCTATCTCCCAATACCCTCTTCAGCATTGTTGGATTTTCATCTCACACAAAGTGTATCTAAAGGTATAGCATTATAATCAGTATGGTTTGAAGTGAAAACCTTAAAATAAGAGAGATAAAAGACTGTATGAACTCAGTTTTCAATACTGCATGTTCTGATTTTTTTTTAAAGGATGACTTCTAGAAAAAAATAAAAGCAACCTCTGACCGCTTTGATTTTTCTTGATTTTATATTTATGCAGAAAACGATTGCTTGCCACTGCAGCAGACCTTTGTTTTATTTAAGAGTAATTTCTAAGATTCATTTCACATGGCAACACTGACATGTGCCGAGGCTAGAAATTTGATTCTCAGGTGCTATGAGACTGGACTAGGGAGTAAAATTTTTGGACAATAAATCGCCAACCAGAACCCTCATTTCACATTTTGAAGGAGAAATGCTGTTCCCTCAAAGTCATTCTGTACAGCTGATCTGGTTAAGTATTAACAATATTCTTGCTCCAAAAAGTGGCCCTTAAACAAAGCGTACTATGGAGTCATTTCTGAATTAAGATGTTCCATAAAGACTTGGATATACTCTATTAGAAATGTATTTCAAAGACATGAAAAGGGGGGAAAAAAGGAAAAGATAAAATATACTGAATCCAGAAATCTGAAGCAGCTACATAACATAGCCACTGTAATTGGAGCAATAGATTTGGGGCTGAGATTACATTTGCTAACAGAAACTGGATAATAAATTTAAGACTTTACATTTAACAATAAAAATGGTTATTACCATTAGGCTGACTAGGTTGGAGGCTGGGAGCAGAAACTGAGTATAAACTGCCAGTTCAGAAACAGGATGATAGAACTAATCCTCCGTTTCAAAAGAAAAGTGGTCTTCCCCGTGGCTTCTCAGGCCCTCATGTGAAGGGCCACTTGTTTTGGTTTATTTACAATTAACATGAAATTATGAGGAGATATTTTCGTATCTCCACATCATAACCAAGTCTTACTAAACTATTAAGAACTGAGCTACCAACTGAAGGATAAATATAAGAAATCAGACTGGCAAAAGTGCATGGCCTATTGCAACCTATTAATCACTACCCTTCTCCTGTAAAAAAAAAAAAAAAGTACGGCCGGGCGCAGTGGCTCACGCCTGTAATCCCAGCACTTTGGGAGGCCGAGGTGGGCGGATCATGAGGTCAGGAGATCAAGACCATCCTGGCTAACACGGTGAAACCCCTGTCTCTACTAAAAATACAAAAAAATTAGCCAGACGTGATGGCACACATCTGTAGTCCCAGCTATTCGGGAGGCTGAGGCAGGAGAACGGCGTGAACCTGGGTGGCGAAGCTTGCAGTGAGCTGAGATCACACCACTGTACTCCAGTCTGGGCGACAGAACGAGACACTGTCTCAAACAAACAAAACAAAACAAAACAAAGTACTGACTGTGATTTCTAGGATATTAAACTAAAAAGGCTGTGACACTTTTTCTTTTCTTAGTATCTTCTGCTTTGCCTTTTGAAAAAATCAAAACTATTTTCTTCAAAATTCACTGTGTTAATTAAAACATAAAACAAAATGATAAACGAACACCTCAGTTACTGAGCAACAACTTCTTTAACTGTCTAAAGCCTGGAGCTGGGGGTGTTGAGGTGCAGAGAACATGTTATTGTAAGGTCTTTAAAATGTGTTTAAAATGCGTTTAACAATGAGTCATTGTTAGTTTACTAGAGTTTCCATTTTCAACTGCCTAAATACATCTTGTGTTCAAAAGCAACAACATTTAAATTCTTGGCCTTTCTGGGAGTTTTCTGTCAAGGAAGGATGGCAACCCCAAGTTTGCAAATATAAGAGAAAGAATTCTAGGGCAGATATCTAAAGGCCCAAAGTGTGGTTCTGGTTAAATTAATTTGCTTCAAATCCTGAGTAGCTTCACATACTAAGACTTATTTTCTTCATTTGCAGAAAAGAGCTAGTGTTGATCACTCCAAGTATACAAATTATTTTTATGGCCAGGCACGGTGGCTCGCGCCTATAATCCCAGCACTTTGGGAGGCCGAGGCAAGCAAATCATGAGATCAAGAGATTGAGACCATCCTGGCCGACATGATGAAACCCCGTCTCTACTAAAAATACAAAAAATTAGCTGGGTGTGGTGGCACGAACCTGTAGTCCTAGCTACTTGGGAGGCTGAGGCAGGAGAATCTCTTGAACCTGAGAGGGAGAGGTTGCAGAGAGCTGAGATCATGCCACTGCACTCCAGCCTGGTGACAGAGTAAGACTTCGTCTCTCTCTCTCTCTCTATATATATATATGTGTGTGCATGTGTATATATATACACATACACACACACACACACACATTTATAAGATACATGAGAAGGTAGACTGTGCCCACCTCTCCCAATACTGAGTATAGTATTAGGCAAATGCCATAGCATGCTATGAACACACATTAAATAAAAGAACTAAGGCACCAGAATTCTCCTTGATAGTTCTTTGCATGTGATAATAAAACCATTAATGGTTATTGAGCTTTTACTATGTCCTCAATACCAGATTGAATTTTTCATGTAGATTATTGCTTTCCATTTTCTTAACCTACTAAAGTAGTAGCTATGATTATCTCTATATTATACTTGGGGAAATTGAGACACACAGAGGTTAAGGAACTTACTCAAGGTCACACAGTTAACTAGTAAAATGAGATTCATATGTGGACTCACTACTTCTCACCACAATAATGAAACAAACGTTTTTTGCCTCCAGCTTAATAAAACCTTTGATATAGTAATAATTACTGATATTTTTATAGAGCATGTGGTATTTCATGGGATTCCCAGACAACCTAGTAATATCCTTAGCTCCATTTTATAGATTAAAAAACCCAGTGCTCAGA